ACCAATCAACGCGACCACAACGTACCAATAAAATAGAGAATAACATTTGTACAATAATTAGCCAGAAGTAGCTGTGAATGAGGCAGGTAGTGATTAACAGATAGGGAATAATTCATGAATGGTAAATCGTACACTAATAGTTCATAGGTCAACGTAAAGCTCACAATAAGAGGGGCATGAATATGAACAGTTTAGTTACATAACAATTATACGATAAAAAATATACTCATAATATTGGTCCATAAATGGATCCCAAAAGTTACCATTCATTATGCTTATCGGGATACAACATCTTTAAAGTTTCTTTTCTTATTATCTGATGATTTATGAACATATAACCATTTTTATGTTAATTATTTTCCCTGAACAGTATCATGATCATTACGATTTGTCTGTCTATCTTTCATTCTGTCTCTCTGTAAGAGATAGATCTATTTATATGATCTTTGATCGATACCAACTCGAGTGATCAATTAATGGTGGTTAATTAGATTGTATTTATATTCTTCAATTGAATGTATGTTAGGTAGCTTAAAGTAGATTGATAAAACTAGATTAGCGCTAAAAGATTAGAATCCCTCTCATATCTGAGGGGAAACACAGAATATGATGAACAGCTCGAAATTACCTAGATGATTTGGACTTTGCAGATGACTTGATCCTTCTATTTCATAAAAAACGGACAAATTCAAATGTAGAGAGCTAGTGTAGCAGCAGCTTCTGAAGCAGTAGGCTTCAACATACACAAGGGAAAAGTAAGATCCTCAAATACAACATAGAGAACTCCATCCTAGTCACATTGGATGACGGAGTTCTGAAAGATGTGGAATCTTTCACGTACCTGGATATAGTATCATCGGTGAACAAAGAGGATCTGATGAAGACGTAAAAGCGTGGATTGACAAAGCAAGGACCGCATTCTTACAGTTGGAGAACACATGGGATTCAAAACAACTGTCAATCAATATCAAAGTGAGAATCTTTAATACGAACGTTAAGATAGTTCTACTGTACGGAGCTAAAACTCGGAGAATTACTACAACCACCATCAAGAAGTTACAAGTATTTATAAACAATTGTCTATACACGATACTGAATGTCTGTTGGTCGGATACCATTATCAACAACCTACTATGACAGAGAACAGATCAGCTTCTGTCTGAAGAGGAAATTAGGAAGAGACGTTGGAGGTGGATAGGAAATTCATTACGAAAACCATCAGATTACATCACAAGACAACCGCTAACTTAGAATCCTGAAGGCAAATGTAAAATTAGGAAAACCAAAGAACACTAAGTAGGGAATTAGAACCAGACATGAAAAAGATGAATAGGAACTGGAAAGGATTGTTTAGGACAGAGTTGGACGTAAAATACTGGTGAATAATATGCTGCTCCGACATTCAAAAGTATTGTAATGATAGTTAAATAAGATCACAAGATAGACAGATATCCTCCTCCACTGTGAAACATTTGGTTGAGAATAGTCATAAGGTTGATATCAAGTCAGTATTTGTAGTGTTATACAAAAGCCTTCAAGGTTGTATACTGAGGTTATACAGAAACTGAAGCCTCGTTTATGTGTTCCAAAAAAAACAATTTGTTCTTACCCTTAACCTACCCTGGCAATATTGATTTTTTGATTGTGATCCTGAACCGATTGGTGTTCATACCACCGACCTTAATGGTTTAGAGATTAAGCGTTCGCACTTTAGACTGGAGGTACTGGGTTCGAATCCCACAAGCACGATCATTGATGCGCACTGCTGACGCATCCCACAATAGGACGAAACGTTCTTCCAGTACTTTCAAGTTTTCAATGATGGTCTAACACCAATCGATTCATGATCTCAATTAATGTACTTTATTTCCTTATGTTACAACTTATCCTTAAGCTGTCTAATTCACCATTTATTTTTCACTGATTGAAATCATGAGTCAATTGAAGGTAGACCACCATTGAAAACCTGGAAGCACTAGACGGCTATTTCGTCCTAGTATGGGACTCTTCAGCAGTGCGCATCCACGATCCTGCCCCCCCCCGCGAGATTCGGACCCAGGATCTATCAGTCTCACGCTAGGCATTCAACCAACTCGACCACTGAGCCGGCATCCAACGGTGTTAATGTCTATTTTTCATATATTTCTAGGTTGATAATAATACTGATCTAATTCTACACTTGAATATGAATAGCCAAGAAAAAAAATAAGAATTTTCTAGAAAACGACCATATTTATGTGTATAGTTTAGTTCAAATATAATCGATCATGTACATAAAATTAAACCATTAACCAATCATAAATTGGTTGATGAAATTCTAATGTAAACTAATTTGATTTAAGACACCTCCGCAGTTCTAAATTAATCGAGTCTTTATTATGAAATAGAATATGTTACTAGTTAGATATTAATAATGATAATATTGATTTTTTGATTATTATTATATAATAAGAATAATTGCTTACTTGCATGGAGAACAGCTGACAGACGCATTCCAAGTAAGGACCGAAGTCAGACAAGACTGTCTACTGTCTCCCTTCGTTTTTCTTCTAGCGGTCGACTGGATTATGAAGACCTCGACATCTGAGGGAAAGTATGAGGTACAATGGACAGATCACAAACACTTAGAAGATTTGGACTTCGCAGATGACTTAGCCCTCCTATCGCATACACATGAACGAATGCAGATAAAGATAGCCAGTGTAGCGGCACTCTATGCATCAGTAGGCCTCAACATACACGAGGGGAAAACCAAGATCCTCAAATACAACACGGAGAACAACAATCCAATCACTCTTGGTGGCGAAACTCTGGAAGATGTAGAATCTTTCACATACCTCGGAAGCATCATCGATGGACAAGAAAGTTCAGATGCAGACGTAAAGGCGAGCATTCCTACAATTGAAGAACATATCGAACTCAAAACAACCGTCTGTCAACCAATATCGAAGTCACAATCTTCAATACCAACGTCAAGACAGTTCAACTGTAAGGAGCTGAAACTTGGACAACTACTACAACCATCATGAAGAATGTACAAGTACTTATGAATAGTTGTCTACGCAAGATACTCAACATCCATTGTCCGGATACCATTACCAATAGCCTACTGTGACAGAGAACAAATAAGCTTTTAGATGAAGAGGAATTTTGGAAAAGTTGGAAGTGTATAGGATTCATATTGAGGAAATCATCAAACTGTATCACGAAGTAAGCGCTAAATTGGAATCTTGAAGGGAAACGGGAAAAAGGAAGGCGAAAGAATACACTGAGTCTAGAATTGGAAACAGATATGGAAGGAATGAATAGCAATTGAAAACAACTGGAAAAGGTTGTCTAGGACAGAGTTACATAGAGAATAATGGTGGGCGGCCTATGCTCCTCTATGAAAGGGAACAATTATAAGGGCCAGAACAGTTAGCCCACATATTCAAGTAGGCCTCCTTATATTTTATTGTGCCAATATATCATTTAGTTCTGGCAAACTTCATCTGTTGATCGGGTTATCTAAATTTATCAAGGTGATCAATCTGTAAAATTTCATAAAACGCAGTTACTTAGTAAGATTTTTGTTTGTTCGTGTAAACCAATGGAACTATACGGTAATCCACTATTCGAATAACACTTTTGTAGGTTTTTTCAATGAGAACATGAATCGATTGATGTTAGATCACAATTGAAAACCCGAAAGCAGTGGACGGCCGTTTCATCCTATTATGGGACTTCTCAGCAGTGCGCATCCACGATCCCCTCGAGAGATTTGAACCCAAGGCCTTCGGTCTCGCGCACGAATGCTTAAACTCTAGACCACTGAACCGGTATCCAAAAGTGTTAATCTCTAACCTCAACTAATCCGCGAAGTTACGCGACCATCTTGTTTGTTTGAATCTTCTTATTGATGTTTAGGACTGCAATTGATATATCTCTTATTGGTCTATGTGCAACCTGTGCGGATGGCCTCGGTATTACCTTGAATCACAAGCATTGTATTCTTGGATAGATGGTGACTAACAGTTGAATCCAGGACGCGCATTTCGTCCTATTTTGGACTCGTCAGTTGGACATTCCTCCATCCTAGAGTTGATATTCACTCCGGGACTCGAATCTCAAATAGGACAAAACACGCTTCCCTGATTCCACTGCTAGCCACCACCTATCATTGCTTATCATCAATCTCACATTGTTGTTTCATTCTTAGTCTTTGGTTTCATTTAGATTTAATATGGTTAATTTAGTTTACAAATAATCTAAATGGTCAATATATAAGTATAATTATCTAATCAGCTTTACTGTAATTAATCTTATTAAGCTCATATTTATACTTTTAAAAGTACGGATTCTTTAAATGAATTTGCATATGACTGACAAATACACCTTTGTATTATTCCATTCTTTCTGTTTTACAAAGTTCAGGGTCAAAAAAACACATTTCATGCAATAATAACGACACTAGAGAATGATTAAGTAAATCAACTAGGAAGTCATCAGTATTGTTAACATTGTTTATACTATGGTTTGAGCATACTTAAATTTGATAATGATACTATTAGGTGTATAACACTATTAGAGACAAGAGAATCGATGAAATAGTTTAACAAATCAATTCCTTATTTTATAGTACAGATTGACTGTTCTCACCGTTGGGTGTAATTTAATAGATTTGTATGACAGTATCATAATATGAGTAAGGCGGATTTGTGAAAATTGTAGTATTTTCTTTGCTACGGAGCCATTGTAAAAGCTGAGAGCACCATGGCAGCCATTTCGTCCCAGCGTGAGACTCCTCAGCAGTGCTCATCTACGATCGGGATCTTCGGTTTTGAACACTAACTCTTAACCTCTAAATTAAACTATGCTACATATAGGGATTTTCTCAAGAAAGTGCATTAGTTCGTCAATTCAATACGGGAATCATTATTCGACAATTGATATTCAAAACACAATCAAAAACGACAGTGATAAACATCTACAATCCAACGAAAAGAGATGAACAGAATCCAATGGATTGTACCCCATTTGAGTTCTCATCGAATAATACAACAACAACAACAACAAAAACTACTACTACTACTACTACTACTACTACTACTACTACTACTACTACTACTACTACTACTACTACTACTACTACTACTACTACTACTACTACTACTACTACTACTACTACTACTACTACTACTACTACTACTACTACTACTACTACTACTACTACTACTACTACTACTACTACTACTACTACTACTACTACTACTACTACTACTACTACTACTACTACTACTACTACTACTACTACTACTACTACTACTACTACTACTACTACTACTACTACTACTACTACTACTACTACTACTACTACTACTACTACTACTACTACTACTACTACTACTACTACTACTACTACTACTACTACTACTACTACTACTACTACTACTACTACTACTACTACTACTACTACTACTACTACTACTACTACTACTACTACTACTACTACTACTACTACTACTACTACTACTACTACTACTACTACTACTACTACTACTACTACTACTACTACTACTACTACTACTACTACTACTACTACTACTACTACTACTACTACTACTACTACTACTACTACTACTACTACTACTACTACTACTACTACTACTACTACTACTACTACTACTACTACTACTACTACTACTACTACTACTACTACTACTACTACTACTACTACTACTACTACTACTACTACTACTACTACTACTACTACTACTACTACTACTACTACTACTACTACTACTACTACTACTACTACTACTACTACTACTACTACTACTACTACTACTACTACTACTACTACTACTACTACTACTACTACTACTACTACTACTACTACTACTACTACTACTACTACTACTACTACTACTACTACTACTACTACTACTACTACTACTACTACTACTACTACTACTACTACTACTACTACTACTACTACTACTACTACTACTACTACTACTACTACTACTACTACTACTACTACTACTACTACTACTACTACTACTACTACTACTACTACTACTACTACTACTACTACTACTACTACTACTACTACTACTACTACTACTACTACTACTACTACTACTACTACTACTACTACTACTACTACTACTACTACTACTACTACTACTACTACTACTACTACTACTACTACTACTACTACTACTACTACTACTACTACTACTACTACTACTACTACTACTACTACTACTACTACTACTACTACTACTACTACTACTACTACTACTACTACTACTACTACTACTACTACTACTACTACTACTACTACTACTACTACTACTACTACTACTACTACTACTACTACTACTACTACTACTACTACTACTACTACTACTACTACTACTACTACTACTACTACTACTACTACTACTACTACTACTACTACTACTACTACTACTACTACTACTACTACTACTACTACTACTACTACTACTACTACTACTACTACTACTACTACTACTACTACTACTACTACTACTACTACTACTACTACTACTACTACTACTACTACTACAACGATTATCAAAAGAATTAAAAATATGAACTAAATGAAGTGGAAATTTATATTAGCACCGGAAGAATGTCGGAATATGAAGTGTTGGAAATAAACACATATCAAGAAATATTTAACAAACTATGAAAATGTTTGAGATTATGTTGTACTAAGGAATTAGGTGTGTCTTATGAATACAAAGATGAAGGTTGAATTGACGAATCGTTGAAGTCTTCAATGTACACAAGTTTCTTACTTGGCTTTCCTTCGAACCAATCCGTCTTACTTACTTACTTACGCCTGTTACTCCTCGTGAAGTAGCATAGGACACTCGCCAGCATTATCCATACAATCCTGTCCTGGGCAATCCTTTCCAGCTCCTTCCAGTTGTTATTAATCTTTTTCATATCTGCTTCTATTTCCCGACATAATGTGTGCTTTGGCCTTCCTCTTTTCCGCTTCCCTTCAGAATTCCAAGTTAGGGATTGTCTAGTGATGCAGTTTGACGATTTGCGTAATGTATGTCCTATCCATTTCCATCGTCTTTTCCTAAATTCCTCTTCATCTAAAAGCTTATTTGTTCTCTGTCACAGTAGGCTATTGGTAATGGTATCCGGACAATGGATGTTGAGTATCTTGCGTAGACAACAAGTCATAAGTACTTGTACATTCTTCATGATGGTTGTAGTAGTTGTCCAAGTTTCAGCTCCGTACAGTAGAACTGTCTTGACGTTGGTATTGAAGATTGTGACTTTTATATTGGTTGACAGACGGTTGTTTTGAGTTCGATATGTTCTTCAATTGTAGGAATGCTGTTATTGCTTTTTCAATCCTCGCCTTTACGTCTGCATCTGAACCTTCTTGTTCATCGATGATACTTCCCAGGTATGTGAAGGATTCTACATCTTCCAGAGTTTCGCCATCAAGAGTGATACTGTTACTCTTACTTTACAAATAACTATAAGTGAAGATTCTATTGGGAACAGATGACAAGAATTCAACAATCGAGGTGTTGATTGGTTTACATTCATCTTTCAATAACCACACTGGATAGTTGTCAGTTATGCTTTTGGAAAGAGCATGGCTTATGTGGTTAATATAATAAGCTGCATAAGATCAAATAAACTTGTATATACGTTATAAGGTGGTCTTAAAGCGGTAGCCTATTCTCTACACATTATTGTACATGGTATCTACTGAAAAGTACAATACATAGCTCATTTGAACAAAATACCTTTTTCAAAGATTCAGTAAAACTCCATTATTTTATTTGGTGACTCAATGGGTTCCTTTACCTGTTGTAAAATCGGAGCTGTAAAGTATTTATTTGAATAATAAGGCATGTTTATTCATCATTCAAGTTATCACCTACTTAATGAAATACACTTAGTTCAATTGGTACTGTTTACTTAAATCTTCCTATTGACGTTTAGCACTGCAACTGATCAGTCTCTTATAAGCATATGTACATATGTGGCTTAATTCACAAGCATTATAAGCAAAGATGGATAGTGGTTAGCAGTGGAATCCAGTTTGACGCGCGTCAATTCCTCATATTTGGAACTCATCAGCTGGTTGTGTCCACATCTCCGAGTTGATTTTCACTCCGGAACTCGAACCTAGTACCGTTCGCTACTGAGTCCTGATAGCCACTTGCTTGTATAATGAGTTGAAGTTCCAGAGCGAATATCAACTCTGAGATGCAGTCTCATCCAGATGATGAGTTCCAAATTCGACGAAACGCGCTTCCTGGACTCGATTGCTAGCCATTATCCATCTTTGCTTATAATAAGCTTAATGATTATTATAATAAATTGTGTCCACATATTATTATTATTATTATTATTATTATCATTGTAATTATGAAGTTGTATTATACTCTTTGTTTATTTATGCATGACTAATCAGATTGGCTCAAGTGATGTACACTAATCTAAGTTACATTTAAACAAAGCTCATATTTTTCTTGATTAAAACAATGAATCGATAGATGTTAGACCATCATTGAAAACTTGGAAGCACTAGACGTCCATTTCATCCTATTGTGGGATAACTCCGCATCAGTTGGCATCCACGATCCCACTTGTGGGATTCGAACCCATGACCTTCGATCATGTCAAAATACGAAACAATAACAATTCAATAAATCAATAATTCACTTTTTTCTTTAAAGAATTATCAACATGAATCGAACTTGACAACAACATAACAACCCAAGAATAACTGAGATCATTTTTTTCTCCAATATTTTACATGTTACATTCCATTGATCAATTTGTCTTGGTAACTAGATCGTAAAACAGACATGTATAATGAGACATATCTATCTAGCTGTGTGCGTGTGTGTGTGTGTTTGTCATTACATTTACATGTATTCGTAATCAGTGTTGTAAAATTCTCATCAATGAATTGTTCTTGATCGATAAACATAAAATAGATCAATACACTTCAGTGGTGGTTCTTATGTCATCATCACCATAAGTAACTTAGTCCCATAAGGAATTTAATGATAAGAGATGTGAAATAAACAAGTTTAGATTTTATAGCATATTCAAGAGGGTATCTAAGGTCTATAAAAACTAATGTCAGCTGACATATCATACAGTAATGTATTGACTTAATGATCAAATACCATCAATCGAAAATGGAATATCATTAATAACAAGTAATAAGTTTCAACTTTTGTTGTGTCTTATGCTTTATTGATTATATCACATGATATGATTGCCAATTGGAACATCGACGTAAATATCCTTGGCACTGTGCCAAATCAATAACGCGTTAACGATTACGAACAGCTTAAAGTTAATCTCAGAGTTTTGATTGGTTTTTCGGTTTAGTTTTGCCTGTTGAGCTTAGAACACAGATTCTACTGTATGTATTGCATATTTTAAACATACATGGTGTATATTACAAGTAAATCAGATTGTATCATATCATAAAATAGAACATAACAATTATACATGATCAAGCCAAAAGTATGTGTGAGTATGAATTACCCATAGTTTAATCTTCATTAGGATATATTAACTTCAAGGTATCCTTCTAGCATGTAAAACAAGTGAAAACAAACAACTTTGGTCAGAGGAAAATCTTTGTTGTTAGTTATGAAGACTAGACCAATTTAAAGAAAAGTAAATCAGAAGGTAGGGGGGAAACTGTGTGTTAAAGACAAGACTCCTTGATATAATTCAACATTTCGGTGGTAAGTAACAGTTTGTTTGTGATAAACAAAATGGGTGAAGTGCTATGGTTTGCTGTGGCTTGGTATTATATCAGCCAAATTATGTTACTTGTATTAGGACAGCAAATCTACGTGAGGAAGCCTTTTCCTTTAAGAGTATCGTTTGACTTGATAAAGGAAAAAGAAATAGTCAACTTAGAGTTTTAGTAACCAATGGTTACGGTGTCCTAGGAGTTTAGGTGTCAAAGTGAAAAGTCAATTTCTGTATGAGAGGTTGAGACAAAAACGACGTTAAATTCGGCAAAGGCCAAGATCATAGTAATTCACTGGGTCCTGAAATTGACTTGCAATAATTCCGACGAAAAACGCCTACATGACACATAGCAGATACAGTGACAATCATGTATCCACTTTTGTAACTTCCGCTAAATCTTACAACTCAGTTCAGAAATATGTTAACTAGTATAGGGGTTGTGGAGCTAATCCATTTCGGGTAGAGACAGGTATCTACCTCAGTACAACGGAAGTTGGTCCCTCAATTTCGTGGATTGGTTGATGTTAGACACTATCACCAGTGGATGCCTGCTCAGTGGTCCACTAGGTTAAGCGTTCGCGCACGAGACCGAAGGCCCTGGGTTCGAATCACGCAAGCGGGATCGTGGACCGCACTGCTGAGCAGTCCCACAATAGGACGAAGCGGCCGTCCAGTGCTTCTAGGTTTTCAATTGTGGTGTTCTAACATCAAACGGTTCATGATCTCAATCATATATGTTGACGTTGACTGACTTATGCAAAATTCCTTTGTTACCAACCTCGAATCAAAATACAAGAAAAGTCAACCAATATACCTTGTATCACTCCCTATTTGAAAACACATAGGGTTATATACATCAAATACGAAACTACGATGAATCAGAATTGTGACATATATATATGGACACCACTAGGTCATCTGTTTTGAGAATTCCATAATTTAGTTAACATACAACATTAAATAGAGCCATTAGTATTATACTTCTATCTGAAGTTTGTGCTGATTATGCCGTTCAGACGAACGATAAAAGCTCCAAGACCAAACCATCCAGCTCAGAGAACAAAACTTCATCCAAATTATTATACAAAACTTACTAACGTGCACATAGTTATCTAACTGTAGTCTATGAAGCATAAAAGATAGACCAACAGTAATTGTACAAAATTAATTGCTTACAGCAAAGATAATATGCATATACCGTAAATCACTAGTTCAATAAATGGAGATTAAAAACATATAAACGGATTCACAAGAGAGTGACTTTCAAATTTTCATATTATCACCAGTTGATGTTCACAGTGCACTTATAGAACTGTTATAGTTTAGGTGTTGCTACTTCAGTTTAAATGATCCACCAGGGTACTTGGTACATTTGTGGTTGCGCCACAGGATTGAGGTGTACTGTTCAGATTGTAGCGTTAAAGCCAATATGGTGTCAGGTTCTCCTGGAAACGGGATAGAGCTGTACTGTTTGGGTTGTCACGTGAGTCTGGATGGTGTCTGGTTCTCCTGATAACCAATGTAAAATTACCCTGGCCCACAAGGGTATATTATATATGTACTTGATAAAAGTGGAACTCCCCTTTTAAAAGTGTTGTGATAGTTACAAATGTCAGTTTCTCCAGTTGACACTGGGATTACCACACCTGATAGATGATCACATACTTAAAGCCAAGAACTTTACCAATGTCTTTAAATTTTGAAAATGAAGAGGTTGGATAACTGAAAGGCAGGATAAACAAACGAAAAGAGTGACAAGGTTCCAATACATCATCATAAGATGAGAATATTTCTTGTCCTTGAAACAGACGTGAAGACTACTCAATCATTGTAAATATCATCTTCAATACGATCGTTGAACTCTGTAGTCGAAAAAAAATGTTGTTTGTTGAATATTGAACAAGTATGAAGGATATTATTCATAAAGATATCTGGTCAAACATCCTTGTGATAACATATATCCAAAGGAACACGACATCATGAATGAACCACGCCAGTCAATGCTTCATTCAAAGATAAAAGCTTTTGTTAAACAATTCAGATCATAGAACATGTATGATCCTAGAAGATACAAGTTTTTTTAAAAGTAGTCTTCACAATAAAACTATCAGTGGACCCAAACGCATCTGTATTAATTTGTGGCACAAAGTAAAAGCAAAATACAATGTTATTTGCTTATGCCCCATCTAAATACCGCCTTTTTCTGAAAAAGAATATCATAGCTATCTATAAAGGTTCATGCGTAATAGGTATATAATTCACTGTAGCCTTTGTAAAACGTGCTACATGTTCCTTCGCTCTCGTACAATTAAAACGTACTTGATTGAGATCACAAACCGATTGATGTTAGACCACCTTTAAAAACCTGGAAGCACTGGACGGCCATTTCGTCCTATTGTGGGACTGCTCAGCAGTGCACATCCACGATCTTGCCAGCGGGATTCGAACCCAGGGCCTTCGGTCTCACGCACAAACGCTTAACTTATTGGACCACTGAGCCGGCATCCAATGGTGATAGTGTCTAACATTTGACAAAAAGAATATAATTATATACTACTTAAAACTAACCAGCTATAACATATGCTTAAATGACTTTCTCTAAGAAATAATATAAGATCATTCCATGATCGTTTATATGAGTACATATTCTTGCAATTTAATGGTTTCGTGCAGTGATAAGTAGAGGACAAGGTAATAATAAGCAATTTAGGAAACGTTTCGTCCATTTAACAGAATAATTTGCATTGAATGTCGTTCTTCTTTTCTTTAAAGTGAATACAATTGAACACTTTAACTAATAAAGTTCCAGTAGTATGTTGTTTTGGTTATTGTTCACTTAACAGTTTATATTAGTTCAATAAGGGATCACTCATGTGTATATTGAAGTAATCATTACTAACATATTCTATCTTGTAATGTTATAGCACTATTACAACTGCTGTTTTAAGTCGATTTCTTCATTTCCTGTATTACTACTTGAGAGGCGCTCTGTCGTTGTTTGACCGATTTTTTTTCACTATACATTTAGGTTAATGTATAATACAACGAATAATGTTTTCCTATTTCTAGTTGTTAATTAAATAAATAATATCTTCAGTCTACTGAATATAAATCCATAGTTTATACGGATGAAAGTATGTGCTATAATCTTTATAATCTTAGATACATAAACTCTCCTGTTACTTGACTTTAACAGTTTTATCTAAGACGAATTTGTGGAGATCATCAGAAGGAACGTTATTTACTCCCTCTCTCTCTCTCTCTCTCACTATTCAACTGCAACTGTATATCAAGCATTTGTTGTAAGATAGACGACAAATCCTTTGAAATTTTCTCATAACCTTGTGTAGTGATACGATTCATCGTTCTTGACCAGCTTTCACATGTTAACTGCGTTTAAACGATTTAAAAAAAAACTCCTTTTTGATGCTAATGAGCCGTCATAGTAATTTAAACGTTCATGTTGAGAACTTTACTACTGGATTCAGAATTTTTTCAGATTGATTATTCTATTGTCATAATTAACTCAAGTCAACCTCTACTCTTAACAAGAAATAGATCACAAGTTTCGAGGATACTAACTAAACTAAATAATGATATTACTTACTTACCATGATTAACTTTTGATATAACGAACAGTAGTTTTCAACAAATTGACCAACTTGATGAAGAAAAACCCACCCTAAAAACAAGTATTTTACTTATCATTGCTTATGTTGAACTGATCAATGTTAGACCACAATTTGAAGCCTAGAAGTTTCATCTTAGTAGACGACTCCTCGGCATTGAGCAGAACCTTTACTCCTACTCACGAACTCTTAAACTCTAGACCACTGTGTCAGCATCCAACGGTGTTGATGTCTAGATTCAATCAACCCACAACATTATGTGATCATCTTCATACGAAACCAAATTTCCAGGGTTCGAATCTCGGGTGCGGGAACAAGGATGAACATTGTTAAGAAGTCTTATGCTAGTAGGAAACGCCTGTTCAGTTGCTTCTAAGTTTTCAATCATGGTCCATGATTTCAATGAAATTCGACAATCTCCACGACCTCATAACTGAAAATTATCTCAACGATTTCAGTTTTGAATTCATTCACTTCTCTGGAATCATTACTTTTTCATATTTCAATTATAAAAAAACAACTGTTGGATGCCGGCTCAGTGGTCTAATAGTTAAGTGCTCGCGCGCGAAACCAGTAGGTCCTGGGTTCGGATCTCGCAGAGTGCAGGATCGTGGATGCGCACTACTGGAGAGTCCCATACTAGGACGAAACGACCGTCCAATGCTTTCAGGTTTTCCATGGTGGTTTAGCTTCAATCGACTCATGATTTCAATATGTGAAATTTCTAAAATCTCCACAAAACCCCCATTCTGATAAAAACACACAATATATCCAGAAGATATTTATTTATTTATTTACTGAATCTGAACGAATGAAATGAATAATGAAAATGAAATGATGATGATGGTGACAAGAATAAGTAACAACAATAATAATGATGACAAATGTTCATATTCACAGCCTAAAACTGTTACATAACAATGATCTGATGTCAATGTTTAACTAATGAGAAAACAAAAACAGATCAAGATCTCACACACACACACACACACACGGATACACACACAGAGAGATACACAATATTGATCTAAGCATTAAACAAAAAAAAAAACGACATAGCTACACGCTTTAACACCGTAAAACATTGAAAGTAACATTGATCATAGGTATAAAGAAGAAACAATGTAATTTCTAATCGTTATGCCTATGAACATTATTTAAACAATAAAATAAAATATAGATTCGTGAAATATTATGAAAATGGATGAATAAATGAAGAAAAAAAGAAAGAAGATTAAAGTAATATAGATATATAACTGAAGGCAAAAGCTGTGAAATATAGAACACTTCCCTAGTACACACACACCCCTTCTTCATACAATCAATCAATGAATTATGAGATGATAGAAATGGCGCTATCAAGAGTTTTGGCAATTTAGTTATACACACACAATAAACTGAACAAAATGAGATTGTCACAGTAACTATGTAATAACTATATCTCATAGTAACCATGACGATTGAGTTGGATAGAAAAGAAAAAAAACAACTCCAAAATGCATGAATTCACATGATACTCATCTATATAGAAGCATTTAAAATAAATAACTGTTCATATCCCCCAGTAACAACAACAACAACAAATAAAAGCAAAAAAATAGAACCATCTAATTAAATAATGAAATCATTGAATTTGTATTTTTTTTTTAATCATATATCTGTAATCTATTACATAATACAATGTTTACAGTTTTCAAAAATGATGATAAGCAGATCGAAATTGTATCAGATCAAGTACACAATAAGTCATAACAACAAAAACAACACCCAACAACAACAATGATAATCGATAATTCCTGTTTCATATAAGAAACAAAGAAGAAAACTGTACACATCTAAGCAAACCACCCCCTTTTCCGATGGATCAATGTATATATTATAGCAGAAAAATAAGATCATAAGAGTAAATCAATAATGTAATAAACTATGTGTAAAACAGTATGAAATCAACTGAGTAAATGAATGATTGAATAATTTAGTAATAAACTAGCACACATTACAAAAAAAAATCAATTCAATCAAGGAACATCACAGGTACTTGTATGACAATTAAAAAAAAAGAAAAGAAAAGAAAAGAAAAATGACACACAAACACACATACACACACGCACACACATAGTTTATCATGAATTAAACACAATGAGAATAATTGTTTTACACTATTCTTCTTTTGTTTTTTTTTCTCTTAGTTGAGTCATGGCAACAATAATGGTAACGACGACGACGACGACAGCAACAACAACAACGATGATAATCGCAACAAAATAATAATACTAAACAATTAAAAAAATGGATCATTTTTTAAAATTAGATTTAAATAAATTAAGAAAACGTGAATGAAATTTCATTTTTCTTGATTTTATAGGAATTCTTTCATTAGAATAAGGATGTGAATGAAAACTTGTAAATGAAAAAGATGATGATGTTGAGGATGATGAACGACTTCTTGTTGTTGTTGTTGTTGTGGTGGTGGTGGTGACGGCGGCCGCGGCGGCGGCGGGGGTAATGGTTCTTGTTGTTGTGGAACTCTGTGGTAATTGATGAATACTACTACTATTATTATTATATTCATGTAATAATGATTGTTTTTCATTACATATTATATCATTTTCATTATTCATTGTTGAAGAAACTGATAGAGATGAAGATTTATTTGGATCATGTTCATCATCTCTTATTATAGACATTGATATATTAGGTAATTTCTGTTGACTTGTCTCTAATTCATTCCAATTTGATATTAGTATATTTGGATTATTCTTAATATCTAATTGTTTAGATGAATTTGTTAATGTTGTTGTTAATAATGGTGTTGATGTTATTGTTCTACTAATAATTTCAATGGATTTATCATTAATATCATGACTGGATGGTTTAGATAATGATTGATATGTATCATCAATAGATGAAGAATGATGATGTTTATGAGAACGTTTTAAAATTGGACCACAATTCAAAGTGTTCCGTGGAAGACAAGATACTTTTTTATGTTTCACCGTTTGTGATGAAATCGATTGCTAACAAACAAACAAATATAAACAATAATGACAATTATGAAAAGTCAATAACTGATATTATGAGTCAATTGAAGCTAGATCATTATGAAAAATCTGGAAGCACTGGAGAGCCGTTTCGTTACATTGTGGGACTCCTCAGTAGTGCACATCCACGACCTCGCGAACCCAGGACCTATCAGTCTCTCGCGTGACCGCTTAACCACTAAAACACCGGACTTTCTGGTATCCAATGGTGTTAATGTCTAACTTCAACTAATCCATCAAATTGAGTGATATATCCACCATTGTCTTCAGTGAGTTACTATCTCATAATTGACCCGTTTGAACTTCACTGGTCACTACTTCTCACTAGAACTCCATGAAATACCTTTTAAAGCCAGTCACTAGTGACCATATGTTGGTTAATATCAGAAGGAGTTTTTGTGGATATTATAGTGATTTCAATAGTTCAAATGATATTAAAAACAATACATAAACGAAACATATCAACTTGCAATCTTCAAGTTAATTAAAATCCAAATTAAGTAAGAATTCATTTTATTGATTCAATCATCAGTCACCATTAGATCGTACTTAAAAGTTTCTTCAGATTATACATATTAATTATAAATAAGAAAAACCAGTTAACTTGATCTCGATTCCTAAAGATATGAAAGATAAGATGTCGGCTCAATGGTCTACAGGTTAAGCGTTCGCAAGCGAAATTGAAGGTTGTGGATTTGAGTTATGCCTGTGCGGTCACGGATGAGGAGTTTCATACTAGGATGAAAGGGCGTTTCAGCGCCTACAGGTTTTCAATATTGGTCTCAGTCAGTCAGTAACAACGTAGAACTTCGTATGTACGTACATCAGTTCGAGTTGCCACACCACATTAGCACAGAGATGCACTTGTCGATTCAAATCCCGTAGTGGTAGAGGTAATAAGAGTATAAGCAGTAATCGGGAAGATTAGGGTTTGGAGATGTTATTGAAAGAGTATAATCCAGTGAAATAAATTTGAAAAGAGAAAAAAGAAAGGGACATGAAGAATTCAGAAGATTAGAATTTGGGAGAAAACAAAGTGTATGCACTTGCGCCATTGCAAACAATTTTGAGCCATGTCATTCAGGGTCTCTAACCATCGGTTGCTGTCATCTCGCGGTCACCAACCAGGTAGTCTACACCTACCAACATGACTCAGTCAACTTGTCAGTGACTTCATGGACTTGTGCCATGTTTTGGTCTGGCCGCCCCTAGCTTTCTTCCAACCTACTCCTATACCACTGAACATAGCACGTCGAGGCAGTCGGTCGTTGGGCATACGTAACACGTGTCTAGCTTAAATTAAATCATGAATTTAACTATGAAACAATACACGGGAATCACTTGTAACTATAATGATCAGTAAATGATTGCTAACATTATGATAAGATTATATTCATATGTATGTATGTATTTAGGTATACAATGAAAGCTTCACTTTAATCGATTCAACTCAGAGAATTTAGCAGAATCAATACATATGTAGATATTCTTAATGTCATTACTTATTGCTAAATGACTTGAAGACAAATTCTATTCCTAAGACTGACAACACATCAGATCCAAATGTTGGATGTTGTATGAGTTTGTTCGAGTGTATAACATCTTTTAACATTTTGATCAATGTCAAAAGTTAAATAGTCAGTTACTTAGTAACAACGTAGGATGTAGTACAGTTTTTTTTTAAAATTCTCAATACGAATGCACAGAGATAATTGTCGTGTTCAGATTAAGTGAAGCGGAATCTAAAGCAAAGAGAAGCAGCAGGGTCTAATGGATCTACCCTTTGAGAACTTTAAAGTTAGTAGTCCGACTTGAGCTGTAAGACTGACTGAGATCTTAGCAAGTTTGGTAACTAAACACAATTCCATATGACTGGTTTTAATTACAGAGGAATCAGTTTAATTAATATAGTGTTCAAAATATCAGACACTCCGCCTGGGGTCCCTCCTGGGGCTACTGCCGGTTCCAAACCCGAATAAAGGAGGAGGGGTGGGTATGGGGTTAGCGACTCCATCCCGTAGAAAACTAACTCGCTAAAAAAACGCTAAAATATCAGACTTAATAATACTTCGATGTAAAAATAAAGCATATGAACAGCGAATTCGAGAAAACCAGATTTGTTTCAAACATGAACGTGGATGTTTAGACCAAATATGTTAGATAATAAATTCAAATTCTAGATAAGCCTGCTTAGAGAACAAACTGTTAGATCTAGAAATGAGTGTCTTATTTTGCACTATCAAAAAGATAATAGTAAGCACGAATTAACGATCGAATTCAAAGCAATTAACTTGGATTCTAGTCAGAATTGAACAAATTTTGCTTGTAGCTATATTAGTAATACTGCAAGGTTGAGAATTTTATACTACATCGGACAAAGTGGACTCTCCCTTAATCTTTGCATGCATGAATATCAATTACCGGTCAAACGCTATAACATGTCTTCACTTATATCAATACATGCGGACAACTTTGAACACACATTCGACTAAAAAAAATGCTGAAACAGTGGATAGAGAGAATGCTAAAAACACCAGTGAATATTCAGAAACTTGGGGCTCAGATCAATCAGCAATCAATAAACATATTGAAATCGATCAAATCTATCAACCAACTCGAACAATCATGGACAAATATAAGACCAAAAATCAAATCGAAGGTAGATACAATCACAATAAAGAGATAAACAATGACAGATGATTAACAGTCAACAATAACCAATCAAGATCGGGGTCTACAGGACAAGCTGTGAGTCATATGTGAAGAAATTTGAACTTTTCATTTCTACCTGAAGTTTGTGCTGATGATATTGTTCAGGAGAACAACGAAAGCTCTATGACCAAACCATGCAACTAAGAGAATAAAACTCTATCTAAATCATCCATTTGGCCCACAAATCTCCACCACTTTGAAATGAGTTCTAATCGGCAGAATATTCAATTCAAACTGTCAGAATCTTTGAACTGACTGTGAGATGAGTAATTATATTATGTCCCGACAAGCATAATGAATGGTAACTTTTGGAATCCATTTATGGACGAACACTATACGTATATTTTTATCGTGTAATTGTTAAATAACTAAACTATTCATATCCATGTCTCTCTTATTATGAGCTTTATTTTGACCTATGAACTATTATTATACGATTTAGCCTTCTTGAGTTATGACCTGTCTATCAATTACTACCTCCCATATTCACAGCCACATTGGGCTCAATCTTGTACAAATGATGTTTCCTATTTTATGGTACGATGTAGTCTGTCTGGTTGGTATATAAACTCAGTATGTTCGAAATAAATGATTCATATTGCAGAGACTGAGATTGGCGTTCTAAACTTAACTGGCTGCGCTAGGCACGAAGCAGGACGGATAAGTACTCTAGACTGCTGCTCGTACGGGTTTTACATGTCATTGGTCCGATCGATAATTCACTGCTCTCTAATTGACGGTATCATTACGTTATACATTGACAGGACACACAGGTCACAAGTTATAATAAATTAGAAGTGTTTACTGTTGTTAAGTTCAAGATGGAAAATGAAAAGAAACAACAACAACAACAGAACTTACTAATACTTCATTAGTTTTTATTAAGATTTTGATAAATTTCACATAAAAATAAACAAACTACTTACCATTATTCTCATTGGAATAAACATTCCATGAGTTATAAAATAATCAGGATCACTAATTCTTGATGTCATTGATGATATTTCAGATTTGGATTTGGATTTGGATTTTAATATTGATTTATTTCCCATTGTTTGAATAGATGATGAATAACTAGATCTAATCTAATATTAAAAGATTTATAGGAGAGAAATTAGCCTTAAAGTATAGAGATATCTTTTCTTTCGGAAAAACAAATCACTCAAAGATTAAACTATAACCATAAATCATTCTTTCATATCTATGAATTTGAACAATCAATAATAATAAGTTTATTTGAAAAAGTGTAAAACTCCTGGATGAATAAAATATGTGATGCTAAGTGATTTATAGTAGTTACCAGGACAAATCTGACATGGATTACTGCTCAATGATCACCCGAACGTAGTTGCTACTTTGACGTGGTAGTTGGGCTTGCCTATCGTGATGATCCAACCGAGCTATATTGGCTGGAATATATGTTCCTGTAGGTTCCACCATGACAGGTAGGTCGATTGGAGAACGGTAAGATTAAAAGCAGCAACTCAAGGTCTGAGGGCGAAGTCGTACTACTGACTGTGGTAAGGTTAGAAAAGGTCAACCCTAAAAATGTCACGCCTCACCTTACCTCGAGAATTTCCGTCTCCGGCGGTAAGGCCGTTTGGAGAACGGAGCTAACATGTTAGAAACCCCCCACAAAAAGGCCGTGTGCCACCAGTCTTAAGCAGTTGTCGCTTGGGCTCTGCGGTCACGCTCTCAGGTCGTTAAGACCAACAATAATCCAACTTCATTTTGAGGTTCTCCAAGAAATACCCTTGCACTGTGTGGGCATCCGGGAAGTGATATCAGCCCTCATACACGTAACAGCACATGAAACTGAACAATAATCAGTCAACGTAGACATGTCAGACTTATAGGAGGTCAAATGAGGTATGAACAGTTTAGTTGTAGCATTTCAAAATGTTAAACTGGGTGATATGGATTCGGGTTTCATAAGGAATATCAGTTTCCTTAAGTTTAGAATTATGCTTTGTACTTATAAAGAGGGTTTCTTGTTGACTACCCCCAGCCACCTTACACTAAAAATAGTGTACACGATACTGGGTAACATAAAGTAGTGGCCAGATTATAACGCAATATATAACATCTGATCAGTAAGAAGGATTCTATATTCATAAAAAATTGTTGGTATTGACTGATCGATCAATGTAAAACGTGTACTATCCAAGATCTTCTAAATGTTTATCATTTATTTCAGTCAGTAATCTCTAAAAGTTTTGATAAAGACCCAATCTAGCAAGAAAGAAAGATTTTGTAACTAAGTGATTACCTATTAAATTACAATCAAGAAAACAGTGTTTCTGTTAGTAGATTATAACTACTTGTAATGTAAATCATTTTAAAGGTTTGTTTTTGGCTCATATAACGTGACATTGAATGATATAGTGTTTTACTAAGGCTATTATTAAACAAATCGTGCATACCCGAAAAATGGCTATATTTTGAAATTTATTGTTAGCTAATTGATGCATGTGAAATTGTCTTATGCCTGTAGGCCGAAAAATGAATGATTACAACAATAATCAACAATGTCTGGTAGAGCTAGCTGTTATAGATAGTTGTTTTAGGTTGAAACAAATATCTATGAACAGTATCAATCAAATGCCTTGGTACGGTTAATGGTGAGGAAAATCCGCTCTCCTTCTCAAAATGTTCTCGTATGGCTATCAGTATATAGCTACAGACCAGGAAGTTCTACTCACTGCCTTCTAGTAGCGTGGGTTTTGTTTACGAAATTGAGAGAATTTTAGCATTTTAGTTGATATCAGTTCGTGATGAAAACCATAAATCTAATTCCTAACTCTAACCATCAACTGTAAACTATAATCGTGACCAGTGGAGTTAATCCGTTTCGGGTAGAAACAGGTGTCTAACTCAGTTAAATGGAAGATGGTCGCGCGATTTCGTGGATTGGTTGAGGTTAGACATTAACACTATTGGATGCCGGCCGACTCAGTGGTCCAGTAGGTTAAGCGTTCACACGCGAGACCGAAGGCCCTGTGTTCGAATCTCGCGAGTGGGATCGTGGATGCGCACTGCTGAAGAGTACCACAATAGGACGAAACTGCCGTTCAGTGCTTTCAGGTTTCCAAAGGTGGTGGTCTAACATCAATCGATTCATGATCTCAATCAAAAACTTAACAATCTCCACAACTCCTATACTTATAATCCTTATTATTCAAACTGCTTTATAACCCTCATTTAACTCTAGTAAGAAGGTGTACATTCTGAAGATCATTACGGCGTCGATCAGATATTGTCCATCAATTATAGTATCATCAAAACCATTTACACATAACTAACATGTAATAAACTATTCACATGGTATAACTGATTGATCATCACCTAAATATCATGGATCGATTATCTTTAACCAAAAATTAGAACGAAATAATGAATTGATAGAAGTACTTTATCTAGTAACTATTCATTGAAAACAAACAAACAAACTGTTTACAAACAAACATGTCAATAACTTATCACATGAAACATAATCATCTTTTACAAATATAAACACATGATGTATTTGATTCGTGTAAAATGTAATCATAAACAATCATAACAACATAAGTAATGATTAGTTACTATGTGCTTTTGTTTTTTTTTGGGGAAGTGTAACTTTCACAAATGATTATAATTACTGAAAACAACTTACCAATTGTTCATCAGAGGAAGGAATGAAATTTAAACGTCGACCACTAGTTATATTCTTTTCTTGTAAATTATTTAAAGTATAAGTTGGTTGAAGTGATTTATGACGTATTCCATCATAATGTTCTAACAAGAGAGATGTTTTACAAAAAGAAAATTAGATTAAAACTTTAGTAATGAATTGAATGTAGTTCAGTCACGTACACATTGTCATAGTGACATTGAGTTATGTTGGTGTACAAAGTAACATCTTAATCAAAACTTAACAGTTTTAAAGATTATAATTAAGAACACCTGAAAAAAAATCTCGACGAATTGACAACTAATTAACACCGTTGGATACCAGTCAGCTCAGTGGTCTAGTGGTTAAGCGCTCACGCGAGAGACTGATAGGTCCTGGGTTCGAATCCCACGTGCCAGGGTTATGGATGCGCACTACTGAGAAGTCCCACAATAGGATGAAACGGTCGTCCAATGCTTTCAGATTATCCATGGTAGTCTAGCCTCAATTGATTCATGATCTCAACTATTAAAATTACTACAATCTCCACAAAACCCCTTCTGATACTAATGAAACAAAAAAGATTTAACACATTAGTTCATTCGTCATCATTGATATTACGGAAGTACTACTGTTGAATGTGGATAAATATTTGAATGCTAAAGTGTATAGACGCACATCAATTACAGATGAAATGGTAAAAATTAAAGTTGATTGCGTTTAATGAAATATTGTGCACATTTCTAATGTGGTGTATACTAATTTTGTTGATAGATATAAGTAGTATGTAACACCAATCAGAAGTGAAATGCCTAGGCATCAGAAGATTGAAAAGATCAAGTTGAAGTGAACAAGAATATAAACACAGAGTAATGGTAATAAAAACAGGAATGAGGGAACGATAAGGTTTTTAAGAGACAAATGATAAAAGATGTGCAGATGAAGTATTTAATGTACAGTTATACAAAAGAACTCTATAATTTTACATCAGTCAATCAATTGGTTATCTAAAACAAGTTATCGTTCACTACACTAGCAATTTCTACCAGTTTCTTTTTCTCAATCCCCCTTCAAACATGATAGAATACAAATAATCCGTAGACAAATGTGTTATATTCGGACAAAGAATAAATGAATGGTAACCGTTCGGAAATATTTATGGACAAATCTTATACGTATATTCTTATTGTATGACTGTGAAGTGACTCTGTTATATGTATATTCATATTCCATTTGACCTATTGACTACTACTGTACGATTTACTATTCATAAGTTATTCCCAATTTATTAGTTTCAATCTCCCGCACTCACAACCCCTTTTTGGCTTGATCTTGTACGACTGTTATTTTCTGTTTTATGGTACGATATGGTCTGTTTGGTTTTTATATAAACCAAGTACATATCACGGAGGCTAAGATTGAGGTTTTGGACTTAACAGGCAGGGCTCAACGCAAAAGGACTAATCGGAACTCTAGGCTGCTTGTTCTGGTGTATGCGTCATTAGTTTGGTCTTATAAGTCGGCGGATCTTAATTTGACAGTCGTATTTCATGATGATCGTATAAGCTAAGGACAAAACAAAATAAGGAACAGTTGTGATATGGACGACATAATGACATAAGAACAATTATGCATTATCATATGTACCGTATATATTAAAAAGACCAAATTTAACATTTGCAAAGTTGAGTATACACTGGATTATACTCCTTAAATAATATCTCTAAACCTTAATCTTTCCGATTACTGCTTATACTCTTACTACCTCCACCACTACGGAATTTGAATCGACAACAACATCTCTGTGCTAATGTGGTATGATACGACCGAAGGTGGGAAGAGTCCGTTCCCCCTCTCGAAATGCTTTTACATGGCCACGTGCATACAACCACTGACAATGAAGTTCTATTCACTGCCCTGTCGCGGCAGGGATATTGTTTACGAAATTGAAAGAACGAAAAGCGAATGTCCGGCGCTTTAATCGGGTCGGTGGATATGGATAATCCAACTGGGGGAGTTGGAAAATCCTAATTTCAAACCAATGGTCCACATGTGCATAAGGATCCTGAGGGAACAAATGGCGTATGAACATATTATTGGACATCGGATACCATGAGACTACATTTTCCGACGTTACTCTATTGCCTTGTGGATCAGACCTTCAGGTCAAAGGATCCGGATGTGGTCTCTTAAGAAAACCACCTGCTTTATTTTGAGCACCGGGACAGAATACTAGCCCTCACACAAAACTATGATAGTTTTATTTTCTCATTAGTTAACATAAATTCAAAATGTATTATATGAAGCTATAAACAATGGGAAAGTAAAAAAAAACATTGTCAGGAAAACAAGAATGTATACATTGCAAATACAATTCAGCTGATTTATAGTACATATGTATCATACAATGGAATAGTAGATAAGATATTCGTCTTCTGAACTTTCAATGAAAATTAATTCGCAGATTTATTGCTTATCATTGTTGCTATGTTTTGACTCATGGATGGTTGTTGAAGTTTTAGAAGTAACGTTTGTTGATTCAAAAAGTTTAAGAGTGACATGTTATCTTATTATCAACATTATTATCACTCTATGAGTCTGTAGGGTCTGGTACTATGTCAAGAACATATATATAGGTCTTTTACCCCTCTGGATAGGCCAATCTATTCATTATTCTCAAGTCACATTTTCACCATGTTAGTTATTAGCTTGTAGTGACCTACTTTTATCATGAGAACGCGATTGGTTTAATGGAAACAATCATTATTATAACCAATTGTACCAGTGATTGTTTTACTGTACTTGTTTGTTTGACTGTACCGAAACACATGTATTCTTCCGTCGATTGTGACCTTGCACGGATTCGGTTACGCTCAGTAACCACACTTGTACTCCTTTGGCATGATCTCGGTATTCTTTTGATACCACGAGATCGCCAACAAATACATTTCGACTACAGCCATCGACTGCCTCCTGATATTTTGGCTTACGGGGGATCTTATCGGTTAACTGGCACGTAGTCTTCTTGTAGTGGTGATCATAGTCAACAATGACTCGACGCCGCACTACAAGCTAACCAACTTTGACTGTTTTTATATGTGAGTGTATGTGTGCGTTAATTACTTACCCTATTCATCATATTTCTGTAACTCATTTTTCTTTTACTATAAATATCGATTAATGATTGATTAAATAGAATTGGCTCACTCGCTTTCTGCACTGATCGTCATTTCGTTTTGCTTAGCTCTTTCCTTTTCACTTTGTTTCTCTGATTGTCTGTTCAGATGAACGATTGTACGAAATATACGTATTCAAAATCTATTCTCATATTTGATTTATTTAATTCCGTTATGCACCAACGGCTATTTAAGTCAGTGATTACATATGACGGTAGCCGGGATATATATTTCAGTAACAATCAGAAACGATCAAACTGGAATCAGACATAAGGCCATTAAAAGTCTATTAGAGCTACAAAAGTTCCACATCAATGGACTAAATAGGTAATATTACATTAAAAAGAATGTTAATTATAAATAAGGGATCAATAAAATACTAAATAATATATTAATCAGTACCTGAACGTAATGAAGTTTTGTCCGTTCCTAAGCTTAAATCTTCTTCAATCGATGACAATCCTTGACTGCTTTTATTTAACAAGCCTGTTAACCGGTTTAATTGACTGTTTGCATTTGTCAATCTCTGCCTTAAACACCAATTCGTATCAGACTGAAGGTCTAGCTAAATACGAATAAGCATATAAATGAATAGAAAAAAAAACAAGATGTTATATGAAGTTTGATAAACAATGAAAACTAGGTATCATAACATTTATAATTTATGCGTTAGTCGTAATCAGTCATCTGAAACATAGGACTAGGCACATATATGAATCAGTCCAAATTGACATACCTAATTAGTACAAGACGAACACCAAATTCATAGAAACAGTTACTTCAATGGTAGTGTTAGTTTGTAGAAAGAAAGGTATAAAGTAGTTTTAATCTCACAGACGAAGAGTGTTTACACTGACGTCGTTATGATTGATCCTGAGCCATATCACCCAAAGTATCTAACCATTGACTACGATAGTTGGGTGCACTTCAACCAAGTAGTTTGCATCTGCCAACACGGCATAGACCAGAAGTGATTGACTTTATGAACTGATGCCACGTTTTGGTTTGGCCACCACTAACTTTTTTCAATCCGTTGTAGATAGATATAGAAGTAGTCAGTTAGGAGTATGTTTATTTTTCATTTACAAGTAAAACAGTTTCTAGCTTTTGAAAATTTAGTATAGTTTAGTCGTATAAAATATTCTTTTAAGTATATTGACGGCTTAGTTATCTTTAAATGTTATAATATGTGTAGCAAGTTAAGTCATAGGAACTTCATCAGTTGAGATGGCTGGGACACATGTTACGTATGCCCAACCACCGACTGCCTCGACGTGCGATGTTCAGTGGTATAAGAGTAGTTTGGAAAAATGTTAGGGGCGGCCAGACCAAAACATGGCACAAATCTATGAAGTCACTGACAAGTGGACTGAGTCATGTTGGTAGGTGTAGACTACCTGGTTGGGGACTGCGAGATGATAGCAACCGATGGTTAGAGACCCTGAATGACATGACTCAAAATCGTTTGCAATGACGCAGGTGCATCTACTCTTTGTGTTCTCCCAAATTCTAATCTTCTGATTCCTCCTTGTCTCTTTTTTCTCTTTTCAAATTTACTTCACTGGATTATACTCTTTCAATAACATCTACAAACCCTAATCTTTCCGATTACTGCTTATACTCTTACTACCTCTACCACTACGGGAGTTGAATCGACAACTGCATCTCTGTGCTAATGTGGTATGGCAACTCGAACTGATGTACGTACGTACGAAGTTCTACGTTGTTAGTGACTGACTGACTGACTGAAGTCACAGAAACGAAGTTTCATGTTCCTATATGTGAAGCGTTTATTGAAAAACTGTTTCTCAACTGTTGTTTTTCAAAAGGAAAGAATTTTCTTCATTAATTCATCCTATATTACAGACATTATGTATCCGAATTCATATAGAGTGAATAAAACTGTTATTTCTGTAAAATAGCACCGAGATGTATAGAAGTTGGTTAGTTGCCAGTTCCATCTTTATTTTGTAGAGATAGATCATCCTATCTTTTCAGAATTACACCATGAAAGGAGATGGATGAATTTACTTCACTTTTAGGGTTGAATGAACAATTTTGGAAGAAGGTAAAACATCAGCTGTGTAAACATTCTCATCACAAATGACCAATGTGTCGTCTATATTACGTAAACAAGTTGAAACATTTAATAACTTATTCGAATAGATGATTTTCAAGTTTCAACATGCGATAATACACTAAGAATGGGGGGGGCACAGTAGATCTTATAGCAATCATATCATTTTGGTCTATAAAACCACATTATGTTAATATTGAGATTGAAGCGTTATGATTGTCACATAACAATATACACAATCAGTTAAATGCATAAAGTGTTTTTATTGAGAACATGAATCGATTGATGTTAAACCACCATTGGAAACCTGAAAATACTGGACAACCATTTCGTTCTATCATAGGACTCCTCAGGAATGTGCATCTACGAACCCAGGACCTTCGGTTTCGCGCGTGAACACTCAAACCTCTAGACTAATGAACCGGCATCTAGTGGTGTTAATGTCTAACTTCAACCAATCCACGGAAATTCATTTTACTTACTTCAGATGTAACAATATGATATTGATCTAAAAGATATTTGGCTAAACTGCGTAATTCATGCAAATTTCTCAAATGATCCACAGAACTAATTAATTCATTTATTGATGCTTTTTCTGAACGTCTTGGATAAGTTAAATTTGTTGTCAAACTTAAATTAGATGAATCAGATATTTCAGAGATCTGTTTAGATTGTGAAAACGATGTAGTAGTTGTAGTGGTATTAGTAGGTGTAATAGATGAAAGAGTTTGAATAAAACAAGTAACTCCTGAAGTTGTCGTTGTAGTGATACTTGTAACAGTTGTACTACATCCTGGATGTTCTTCTAATAATGATGATGTTAAACATGGAGAAAATGAGGGAGATGATTGAAGGCTTTTTTGAACATTTTTTTCATGAGTTTGTTGTTGTATAGTATTGTTTATTGGGATAGTTGTTAATAATTTCGTCAAGATATTGATTAACTCTTCTTGTCTGTGTTCAGATAATAATGGTTTTTTCGATTCAAGAAAATGTTGATTCATTTGATTTAATGCATTCAATACATTTTGAACTAACGTATACAAATGTTGTTCATACCACTGAAAAAAAAGAAGTATAGAATTTCAGTTATTTGTGTATTATATATGAATCTATTACTTAGTAGAGCGGATTACCTAGTGAGACGGATGACTCACGAACTAACATGAGCGGTAACCCAGGTGGTAGAGATCTGGCTAATCATCCACTCGACCGATACCTTCAAACCGATTACGAACTCCATAAAGAAACACAGCACAATTACTCTTGGATGGAAAAAACGACAAAAGTGGTGCATGTAATGTACGGGGTTGCTCCTTACAGGGGAAACTTGAACTGGTTGCAAAAACAGCTATTGTAGTACCGGTAGTTGTGCTGTGTTTTGATGTGGCCTGTTTCCCTCCAGAAGGGCCTACTAGGCCTCATCAACTTGTTTGGCTGGAAGGGGGGACACTTAGTAACTGTGAGAAAAAAACGTGACAAAACAACTGGTTGATAGTCGTAAAATGATTCAAGTGAGTTGGCAAAATAGTTATTCTCTTTTCTTGAACCTAAGCTTCAAATTTCAGTTGAGTTCTGTCACAACAATGAAGTACTGATCAGAGTTTGTTTTAAATCTACAAAAAGTTGAAAAATGTTTGTATTCCACATCACTGATATTTATCATATCGTCAATTACATTCAGTTATCATGAAGAATATCTTTCCAATCAAGCAATAAGTTAGAATAGGTGGTAAATGTTAATAAACTTTGGTTGTTTACCTATATTCGAATACATTTGGAGGAAGTTAGTCTGGTAAACTTGCCTTATTTAGCGTACGTTTAGATAATACATATGAAATTTCGATTTAACGAATATTCAGTGTCATTTTCCTTCAACTAACGATTGGGTGTACGATCAATAAATACTTGATCTTTCTGGGCGGAAAAAAGCACATTAAATTTATGTAATTCATTCTCAATTATAAAGCATTGAGAGAATCGGAAAAGTAAACAACATCGAATGTGTTCCATAATTTATAAATAAGGTGGAGATATTTATCTTCTTAGGTCGTACTAGTAACATTCAGCTAGGAACTTATCATGCAGTTGATTTACAGCAATAAATTGAGATGTCTTCTGACTTTAAATGACTTATTTTTATCCCACTTATTTTCTTTGAAATAACGACAGTCAATGGAATTATAGTACCATTTCGATAATGCAATGAGAAGACGAAGTTTATCAGAATTATTTTGGACCCAATGCATGCACAAATGTTTCTTAGGTTGGCGGTTCGTATCTGCCTCGTCAATGTCTAATGCTTAAATAAAGTTGGTGTGTATGGAGCATCCATCTGAGGAGGTTTGAAAACTGATTCCAAAACAATCGTGAACATGAACTCCAGAATCCTGAGAGATCGAATGGATTCGGAACCTATTGTTGGTAACCAGATTTTGTAGGATTGCATCTCCTAACATTGCCCCATTACCTTGTGGACCATAGGCACGGATGTGGTCCCCTAGTAGGACCACCTGCTTTGGCTTGAGTACCCAGATAGTATTACGGCTCACAAACAAATCCAATGATTTGTTTGGTACCCTTTTGTAACAATATTTACGTGTTTACATAAACAGATAGACAGACAGAAATCCTATCGAAAATCAAATCAACAGTCAGATTTTCATTGTTCCGATACTGTTTATCGGTTATAAGTTAAATGATAACCGTCAGCCACAAACAAAATGACACTAAGCACATATGAGTAACAATAGAAGCTGCCACATCACATCAAAATGACAACAGGAAGTGAAGAGAAAAAAAAAGCTATCTAGTTTTCAAATACTCATCTAATGATCATAAATCCTTTTTGAGGTATACAGATGGCGACATTCTTTGTAGGACGCTTGTATAGGTAAACACATTCAGCGCAAATTAGCCTCCTGTAGTTATTTTCATGAAAGTGATCATTAATAATGAGAAGATTATAGGGGATTCAACATTGTTTACTACTATAACCCCCTAAATGCCCTGGTACGGCCGAGAGTGGGGAATCCGCTATCCCTCTCGAAATGCTCTCACATGGCCACGCATATATAGCCTCTGCCAGGGAAGTCCTAATCATTGCCTTCTCGTGGCGGGGGTGTTGTTTACGAAAATGAGAGCACGAAAAGAGAATGTCCGGCGCTTTAACCGGATTCCAAACCAAATCAATGGTGCACATGGGCTCCAGTATCCTGCGGGAACAAATGGCGTATGAACCAATTGTTGGTCACCGGCTACCATGGGACTGCATCTCCTTACGATGCTCCACTGCCTTGTGGATCAGACCCTCAGGTCGAAGGCTCGGGGTGTGGCCCCCTAAGGTAACCATCTGCTTCGGTTTAGGCACCCGAGCAGTAGCACAGCTCTCACACATATCGAATGATATTTGTGTGGCGCATATGTATTTGGTGCCTCCTTGTATCAATATGTATGTGTTAAAATAAATCCGATTGCGTCCAAGCTATTGGCTTCCGTCATTGGACGCAATCGGATTTATTTTAACACATACATATTGATATTGATATTGGGAACTAGAGAGTGTACCAACGTCATGGAATGAGTCGATAGTTGTCCCTATCTTTAAAAAGGGTTCACGTCGTTCTTGTAACAACTATCGGGGGATAAGTTTACTTCCGATTGCGTCCAAGCTATTGGCTTCCGTCATTCTTGGTAGGTTGTTCAAAACCCGAGAAAGATTGACTCGCGAGGAGCAGGCTGGGTTTCGTTCTGGTCGAGGATGTATTGATCATATCTTCACCCTTCGCCAAATGTTAGAACACCGCCATACTTTTCAAAGGCCAACAATCGTAGTGTTTCTTGACATCAGGGCTGCCTTCGATTCGTTGGACAGAACTGTTCTCTGGGATTGTCTATTAAGGAAGGGTGTGCCTGAGAAGTTTATTAACATCCTAAAAGCCCTATATAAAAACACCTCAGGCAGAGTGAGGGCATACAACCACCTCTCTCCATTGTTCCATTCGAGCAGTGGGGTTAGGCAGGGTTGCCCAATCTCACCATTCCTCTTCAACTTTGCCATCGATGACATTCTGGAAACAGCTCTGATGAATGTAAGTAATGGTGGTGTGGATCTGTTGCCTGGAGAAAGACTTCTCGACCTTGAGTATGCGGACGATATTGTCTTACTGTGCGATAATGCCCAAGGCATGCAATCTGCACTTAATCAGTTGGCAATCAATGTCCGTAGGTATGGTATGTGCTTTGCACCTTCGAAGTGCAAAGTACTTCTACAAGACTGGCAGGATTCTAATCCTGTACTCACCCTGGACGGTGAGCAGATAGACGTAGTTGAGAAGTTCGTGTATCTGGGTAGCTGCATAAGTGCTGGTGGGGGTGTGAGTGATGAGATCAATGCACGAATAGTGAAAGCCAGAGCGGCTTATGCCAATCTGGGCCATCTATGGCGCCTTCGTGATGTTAGTCTGGCTGTAAAAGGCCGGATCTACAACGCGTCGGTGAGAGCAGTTTTGCTCTATGCTTGTGAAACCTGGCCTCTCCGAGTTGAGGATGTTAGACGACCCTCTGTGTTTGATCATCGTTGTCTCCGAAGGATTGCTGACATCCCATGGCAACATCATGTCAGTAATGCAGAGAGGTTCGGCAGCGTGTGTTCGCGCGCAGAGACGACAATGCAATTGGTGTCACCATCTTGAAACACCGATTTCGGTGGCTTGGACATGTTCTACGAATGTCGTCCCAGAGAATTCCACGTCGTGCATTATTTGCCGACTCTGGGACTGGTTGGAAGAAGCGGAGAGGTGGTCAGTGCATGACATGGTGTCGTGGCATGAAAGAAAGCTGCAAAGGACTGGCTTGTGTTGGTCCTTCACGACTCCCTGGCTGGGGTCCGAGAGATGGTGCTACACAGTGGCTAGAGACGTTATCAGATATGGCTCAGAATAGAAGCCAGTGGCGATCCTGCTGTAACCTTCTTTTACTTTCTTCATAAAAAGTGGTTGTCTCTCCTTTACCTGAAAGATTTCTTCTGATTGTACCTCTTCGTCATTACTCTCTTTTTCTTTTGCGTTCCTTAGTTTTTTTTCTTTTTTTTTTCTTTTTACTTCTCTTCGAATTCCCATTGTTTTGTGTGGCGCATATATATTGGCGCTCTCTTGTACCAATATTTATGTGTTCAAATAAATAAATAAATAATAATAATAATAATAATAAAATAAATCAATAAATAATTATTAGAAAATTAATAATAAAATATCACTTACATCCATATCTTCATGATAAGATATTTGATCAGTAGATTGATTTGTCATTTCTATTGTTTCAACATTTATAAATAATTGATTCTTAGAAGTGGATGATATTCTATCGATTTGTTGTTCAATAGATTCTTTTGATTCGAACATATTGATATTAATACGATGAATTGGTATACTATTTATATCGATTGGATCTATATTTTCCCAATATAAGAATTTATTAAGTTTCTTTATGAGAATTTGATTGTCTAATATAGATGGAGATAGATTATATTTATTATGGTTGATTGATTCTTCTTCTTCTTCTTCAGATTTATTATTTGTTGAAATGATGTATAATAGTTCCGTATCACGTAAATGTAATAAACGTAGAACAAAGTCGAGTGAATATTGGTCCGTATTGTTAGTAGATTTTGTATAATTGTTTGAAATAATAGTCTGAAATTGTTCTTTATCATGAATTCTATTAACATCAGAAGAATCATGTGATTGTTTTTCGTCACTTATAGAATGTACATCAGCTGGAATAGGTACTTTAGTTAAAAGTGATATCACTTCATCTGTAGGATCAATAACAGAAGTATCTTTCAATTCGTTAGTAGAATAATCTCTTCTTATATCCAGTAAGCTTTGTTCTGTGTCATTCACATTGAAATCTTCTTCAACTATTCTACGGACATCAGAAGAATCATGTGATTGTTTCTCGTCACTTATCAAATGTACATCAGGTGGAATAGGTACTTCAGTTAAAAGTGATATCACTTCATCTGTAGAATCGATAACAGGAGTATGTTTATATTCACCAGAATAATCTCTTCTTATATCCGATAAACTTTGTTCTGTGTCATTTACATTGAAATCTTCTTCAACTATTCTACGGACATCAGAAGAATCATGTGATTGTTTCTCGTCACTTATCAAATGTACATCAGGTGGAATAGGTACTTCAGTTAAAAGTGATATCACTTCATCTGTAGAATCAATAATAGGAGTATCTTTCTGATGTTTATTATCAATACATTCAATAGTTTTACTTTTCTCGTTCAAAAATATTTCTTTATCAAGTATATATTGATTTGATACGTAAATCTCTTCTTTTACTTCATTTTCTACATTAGTATTATCTTCATCACCATCATCATCATCATCATCTAATGTTTTGATTTGTTCAGTATTCTTTTGTTCTATTTGTTGTATCATCTGTTTTCTAATAGAATTTAATTGATTTGTATATAGTTTAATTTTTTCCATGATATTTTCAATCTCTATATTGATAGAAAAATTCACTGTATCATTATCATTACTTATGTTGATTGATTCAGTTGACATAGTAACTAAATTATTAGTTACTATGTTATCTATGATAATTGTTTCATTATTAATTGATGATTGTAATTGAATCATTTCAATATGAAGTTTATTACATTCCTTATTTAATTGATTTAATTTATCATTTAATAAATTATATTGATTTTCTATAATATTTATTCTATTGATATAAGTTTGGAAATCTTTAATCAATATATTAAATATTGGCATAATTTCATTTGGATTTAATATATTTATAGAATAATCATCATTCAAATGATTACAAGTCATTGAAAGGATATCTCTTGGTGTTGCTGTTGTTGTTGTTGTTGTAGTTATGGTTGCTATATCATGATCATTATTGATTTTATTTTGTAAAATCAATAAATCATTCAATATTATATTCATATTGATTTTCCATTGATTATTGATTTTTTTCAAATCAATCAATTGTTGTTGAATACATTTTGAATTATTTAGATTCATTTCAATCTTTTCAATTTTTGATATGATTTTATTTATTTTATTCAGTAAACAATGACCAGTTTGGAATATAGAATTATTGAATTCGTATAATTGTTCTTCTTCTTCTTCTTGTTGTTGTTGTGGTGGTGGTGGAACAAGTACATTGGATTCAGTTTCTATAGAACTAGATCTTGATATTAAATCATTATTAGAATGAATCATATTTTCTACTTTCTTCCAATAACAATATTGATTTGTAGTTTGTTTTAATTCATTTATTTTATTTAAATATAAACCTTCAATTAATAATTGATAAATAATATTATAATTATTTTTATAATCAATAATTTCTTTGATTAATTCTTTTCTATTATTTAATAAATAATCAATAAATTTGAAGTATTGATTACATCCAATTGATTCTTCATTGGATATTGATTTTTTATTATTGATTAATGATTGGAATATGTTTAATTCTTTTGTAATTTCATTCAATATTTTATGATATAATTGATTATTGATTATTATTAATTGATTATTTTGTTTAGTTAAATATAAATTTTCATAATAAATTTTTTCAATTTCTAATTGTGTATCATTACTGAATTTCTTTTGTATTTGTTTTTCTTCTTTTTCTTCTTTTTCTTTGACTTCTTCTTGTTCATGATGTCTATTTAGTCTTATATTATATAATAGATGAGATAATCGATTTATTTCTGATTTAGCAATAAGAAGTTGATGTTCAAGATCAATTTGTTGAGTTTTATTAGATATTGATTGTTGTGATATAAATGGTGGATAAATTGTATTAGAATGATGATCAGATAACAAATCACTAGAAGCGTTCACATCACGATCATGATCATCATAATCATTATCATCGGTATCATTCATTGGATTAATGTGAGGATATTGTGCTTTTAATATGTAATTGTAAACATTAGGATGTTGGATAGAAGAAATACAACGAATACATAAATTACATATAAAACTACGATGACAAACGTCTTGGATTTTACATAAACTACAGGAAGATAGACAATCGGATAACAGTAATTCATGTAGATTACTGAAATATGTCAAACTATTAGAATAATCACCAAAAACATCAACAAAATTAGAAGATTTTGAGAACGAAAGAATATCTGACAAAAGCTCTATAAAATCAGCACACAATATACAATCAAAATTGGTATTTGAAAATCTAGATAAATCCAAAAGTAAATTTACAAAAACTGAAAGTAACTTCATACATAAATCAACAAAATCCGTAGCAAATGCTAAAGACATTGAAATTCTTGAAAATTTCTGCTTAAGATCAGAAAGCTCATCACGTAAAAATATACTATGCACACCGACGACATTAGAATTATCACAAAAACCAAGTTGATCTGACAAACGAACACGACGAGAGAGCATATCACACACCATTTTCTTGCTCTCCAACACATCCATATTTGCACGCATCATGTCCAAATCACGTCGTTCTGCCTCTACAGTCTCCCTCAACTCATTCACTTCGTCTCGTAAATGACGCTTCTCCTCTCTCAGATCCGCCACTTCACTCTCCTTCACAGTCAACAAACGCCGGACATCCATCAACGAAGCATCACTCTCCTCCACCGATCTAGACAGCTTCACTATCTGTTCATAACAAGACGTCAACTCTTCGCGCAGTTGACCAACCACATTCGACTCATCTTCACACAAACTTGAACTCACTAGCTTCTCTCTCGTCATCTCCACTGGACTCCTGGTCGACTGATCTACGGTCGACTGATCGGTAAATCCTGAAGTTGACAATGTGTCAGTAGCCAACCAAGACACGCTGTCTGTCGCTTGAGTCGCCACACTCACAAGTCTAGTCGGAGAACCAACCGACACACTAGGCTTGTGCTCGTCGTGTATGCATTCTGAGGAGTAGTCGCTCCAACCGTCAACAACCATGCAATTCGACTCGTCGTCCTCTGCATCTTTACCAACGCCCACGCTCACAGTCTCTCTCGTATCACTAGTGAACCCTGATGACAAAGCTATATCACGTTCAATCATACGATCTAGCACGTCAGTTCCCATGTCACTTCTGCACACTGTTTTTGCCAACCTGGCGTCCACATCGTCTGCCATATTTAACCTACTACGCAGTTCCAACAACTCTTTCATGGCTGTGTCGCGTTCTCTCACAATTTCGTTTACGCGCGACTCCCAGTCTCGACTGGCTATCGCCAACACTGTGTTGCAATGCTCTTCCATCGATGTCTCAAGCCGACACACTTGATCCCGTAGTGCAGAACACTCGTCACGAGAAGCAGACAGTTGACTCTCCAGATCTGACATTGCGCAAACCTTCTCGTGTCTATAGGCCTCCAGTTCCTCTCGGGCAGTTGACGCCTGTTCGACTGCCTGACGAAGAGCTGTTTGCATCAACACCATCTCAGATGCCTGCTTATCACACAGGTCTCGACACTTGCAGAGCTCCTCAGACAGCTCACGGTTCCGGTCGCACAGTCTGCTCATCTCACTTTCCGAATCCCAATCTTGTCCTCTCTGCATCGACGTCACTTCATGAGACTCTTGTAGTCGCACAAAGCTATCAAGCATAACAGTAGACTCCAAGTGTTCTGGCCATGTCATTGTCTCACACTCACGGTCCACGTGTTCAACCACACCATGGGACAACCCTGTTGTGACGGCATCTAAACACTCCTGCACTCGTTGTTCGTGCTCTCTGCACCAATCTCCATAGTCGGAACGCAGACCTCTTATATGGTCAACCACAAACGCCAACAGTGCTTTCGTCTTGGTCACATCATTCTCCAAGTCAGTAATCACAGTCATATAACTCTCTAGACGACGCTTCAGCGACTCACACTCACAGATCAGGGCATTGTTCATTGACTCACATTCTTTCAGTTTCTCAGTGACTGCCTCCAGCTCGAACGATTGTGTATCCAGTGCACGCTGCAAATCCTCTCGCAACCCGTCTGATGTGCAACGGTCAGTCGACGAGCCTTCGTGTGCATAGTCGATTTCTTGCACTGGTGACGTGGATCGACCAACTGTTTCGCACAGGCGATGTGAAACCCGTTCGTACTCACTCATTCTGTTCGCCATTTCGGCGCGGTCAGCATTCGCCTCAGCATGTGCTGCACGCAATTCTCTCACCTGCTTCAACAAGAAACCCAGTGATCCTCTGACCTCATCCATCTCCATGCACACATCGTCCAACAGTGTCACGCGCTCTGAAATCTTACTTCGTAACAAGTCTACCTCTGTCATCAGCTCTTTGTTGTGCTTCGACAGTGCATCAGCTTCGTCCGTCACTTTCATCGACCGGTCAGGCACACGAGAACTAAGAGGCATCACATCCATCGGCTTATCTTCACACATCATAACGCCTTCCAGCTCACGCAGACGCACACTCAACTCTGTCTTGGCATTCTCAAGTTCGCAGATTCTGCTCATGGCCTCCTTCAATCGCGTTCTTAGGCTGTCTGTATTCAACAGGGCAAGTTCGGGATCGTCATTGTCTTGTTCACTCGGCGGTTTCGTCCAACTCTGAGTAGCGTGAATGGGCAAGACCACTTCCTCGTTCGAAACGCCCTCAACACACAAGTCCGTAGTTTGTCTGTCCATTCGATCAGGCACAATGCCTGACACTGAGTCGCTTGCAACAGTCTCCACCAGCTGCATGTCAGGAACTCCGGCAAACACGTCTGCCTCCACTCTGTCTGTGTCATCAACCTCTGCCAACTCACGGACAACCACATCGGGCGCCTTTCCCACAGTCTCACAAGGAATCCAACAAGTTGTCTCGTTCACCATCATACGTGACTCCGGTTCCTGCACTTCGGTCTGTTTCATGCTCAACTCGAGCTGTGAACGCTCCAGAGCCGCCAACGTCGCCGCATTTTCCTCACGCAGATGGGCAACCTCGAGCTGCAACGTCGACACCAGGTCAAAAACTTCGTCGTCAATCTCCGTCTGCACACACTCCTCCTCCACAGCAGCAGCAGCAGCAGCAGCAGCAGCAGCAGCAACCTTCGGTCCACGACACTCCACGCTCATCGCCGACACCTCTTCCTTGCTCTCCAACACATCCATATTTGCACGCATCATGTCCAAATCACGTCCTTCTGCCTCTACAGTCTCCCTCAACTCATTCACTTCGTCTCGTAAATGACGCTTCTCCTCTCTCAGATCCGCCACTTCACTCTCCTTCACAGTCAACAAACGCCGGACATCCATCAACGAAGCATCACTCTCCTCCACCGATCTAGACAGCTTCACTATCTGTTCATAACAAGACGTCAACTCTTCGCGCAGTTGACCAACCACATTCGACTCATCTTCACACAAACTTGAACTCACTAGCTTCTCTCTCGTCATCTCCACTGGACTCCTGGTCGACTGATCTACGGTCGACTGATCGGTAAATCCTGAAGTTGACAATGTGTCAGTAGCCAACCAAGACACGCTGTCTGTCGCTTGAGTCGCCACACTCACAAGTCTAGTCGGAGAACCAACCGACACACTAGGCTTGTGCTCGTCGTGTATGCATTCTGAGGAGTAGTCGCTCCAACCGTCAACAACCATGCAATTCGACTCGTCGTCCTCTGCATCTTTACCAACGCCCACGCTCACAGTCTCTCTCGTATCACTAGTGAACCCTGATGACAAAGCTATATCACGTTCAATCATACGATCTAGCACGTCAGTTCCCATGTCACTTCTGCACACTGTTTTTGCCAACCTGGCGTCCACATCGTCTGCCATATCCAACCTACTACGCAGTTCCAACAACTCTTTCATGGCTGTGTCGCGTTCTCCCACAATTTCGTTTACGCGCGACTCCCAGTCTCGACTGGCTATCGCCAACACTGTGTTGCAATGCTCTTCCATCGATGTCTCAAGCCGACACACTTGATCCCGTAGTGCAGAACACTCGTCACGAGAAGCAGACAGTTGACTCTCCAGATCTGACATTGCGCAAACCTTCTCGTGTCTATAGGCCTCCAGTTCCTCTCGGGCAGTTGACGCCTGTTCGACTGCCTGACGAAGAGCTGTTTGCATCAACACCATCTCAGATGCCTGCTTATCACACAGGTCTCGACACTTGCAGAGCTCCTCAGACAGCTCACGGTTCCGGTCGCACAGTCTGCTCATCTCACTTTCCGAATCCCAATCTTGTCCTCTCTGCATCGACGTCACTTCATGAGACTCTTGTAGTCGCACAAAGCTATCAAGCATAACAGTAGACTCCAAGTGTTCTGGCCATGTCATTGTCTCACACTCACGGTCCACGTGTTCAACCACACCATGGGACAACCCTGTTGTGACGGCATCTAAACACTCCTGCACTCGTTGTTCGTGCTCTCTGCACCAATCTCCATAGTCGGAACGCAGACCTCTTATATGGTCAACCACAAACGCCAACAGTGCTTTCGTCTTGGTCACATCATTCTCCAAGTCAGTAATCACAGTCATATAACTCTCTAGACGACGCTTCAGCGACTCACACTCACAGATCAGGGCATTGTTCATTGACTCACATTCTTTCAGTTTCTCAGTGACTGCCTCCAGCTCGAACGATTGTGTATCCAGTGCACGCTGCAAATCCTCTCGCAACCCGTCTGATGTGCAACGGTCAGTCGACGAGCCTTCGTGTGCATAGTCGATGTCTTGCACTGGTGACGTGGATCGACCAACTGTTTCGCACAGGCGATGTGAAACCCGTTCGTACTCACTCATTCTGTTCGCCATTTCGGCGCGGTCAGCATTCGCCTCAGCATGTGCTGCACGCAATTCTCTCACCTGCTTCAACAAGAAACCCAGTGATCCTCTGACCTCATCCATCTCCATGCACACATCGTCCAACAGTGTCACGCGCTCTGAAATCTTACTTCGTAACAAGTCTACCTCTGTCATCAGCTCTTTGTTGTGCTTCGACAGTGCATCAGCTTCGTCCGTCACTTTCATCGACCGGTCAGGCACACGAGAACTAAGAGGCATCACATCCATCGGCTTATCTTCACACATCATAACGCCTTCCAGCTCACGCAGACGCACACTCAACTCTGTCTTGGCATTCTCAAGTTCGCAGATTCTGCTCATGGCCTCCTTCAATCGCGTTCTTAGGCTGTCTGTATTCAACAGGGCAAGTTCGGGATCGTCATTGTCTTGTTCACTCGGCGGTTTCGTCCAACTCTGAGTGGCGTGAATGGGCAAGACCACTTCCTCGTTCGAAACGCCCTCAACACACAAGTCCGTAGTTTGTCTGTCCATTCGATCAGGCACAATGCCTGACACTGAGTCGCTTGCAACAGTCTCCACCAGCTGCATGTCAGGAACTCCGGCAAACACGTCTGCCTCCACTCTGTCTGTGTCATCAACCTCTGCCAACTCACGGACAACCACATCGGGCGCCTTTCTCACAGTCTCACAAGGAATCCAACAAGTTGTCTCGTTCACCATCATACGTGACTCCGGTTCCTGCACTTCGGTCTGTTTCATGCTCAACTCGAGCTGTGAACGCTCCAGAGCCGCCAACGTCGCCGCATTTTCCTCACGCAGATGGGCAACCTCGAGCTGCAACGTCGACACCAGGTCAAAAACTTCGTCGTCAATCTCCGTCTGCACACACTCCTCCTCCACAGCAGCAGCAGCAGCAGCAGCAGCAGCAGCAACCTTCGGTCCACGACACTCCACGCTCATCGCCGACACCTCTTCCTTGCTCTCCAACACATCCATATTTGCACGCATCATGTCCAAATCACGTCCTTCTGCCTCTACAGTCTCCCTCAACTCATTCACTTCGTCTCGTAAATGACGCTTCTCCTCTCTCAGATCCGCCACTTCACTCTCCTTCACAGTCAACAAACGCCGGACATCCATCAACGAAGCATCACTCTCCTCCACCGATCTAGACAGCTTCACTATCTGTTCATAACAAGACGTCAACTCTTCGCGCAGTTGACCAACCACATTCGACTCATCTTCACACAAACTTGAACTCACTAGCTTCTCTCTCGTCATCTCCACTGGACTCCTGGTCGACTGATCTACGGTCGACTGATCGGTAAATCCTGAAGTTGACAATGTGTC